TAGCACGGCAGACTTGCTCTGGGGTCAAAAGGTTGAGAGCAACGAGTTTCGCTGGTCAGGGCGGACGCGGCAAGTACCGCAAAGCTGCAAATCAAAGAGATTCAGGCTCCCTCTCCACTTATTTTCTGGTGCTCAAGGTCGGTACTCAAGATGGAGCAGGTGACATAAGCAGACCTTGTGTCAGTGCAGTATGCAGCTCGTGGGAAGACCAAAATTGAACCGGTGATGCACTCAAACAGTATCATCTTTGTTAGCTCATTGACATTTCAAGCTGTCACACAGTGGATCGAGTCTGTAGGAGAGGTCGGACAGAATTTGGAAACTACAAACGCTTGCAACTCCGTTTATACGAACCTTTGATGTTCTAAAGGCAATTCCATTGGTTTCCTCGTGAAATTTCCTGCGTTAGGCACCCCTTGAAATTTATGACGAAATGAACATTAAAATTTGCAGTTTTAGTCAAAAATTTCTTATCCGATCTGCCTCATTGACTCGATCCAGTGAGCGTCATTTCGAGGTACGAATCGACGGACGAAGTACGAAACCACGTGCTATGTTTCCAAATGTTCGCTCTCCTTTTATTTTTTCGAGGAAAGTTATGCCAACTTTACAGCTTCAAATTTCTAACACAGAAGAAAAATTAGGGGAGTTTCTGAGAAATTACGTTGGCTAGTTTTCAAGGAATGGCCGAAAGTATGACGGGAAGTCTGCAACGGCGCAAGTGCAGGGACGCGGTTTTGCACTTTGACTGTCGAAATGAATTCAATTAAGAATGACGATATTGAGCACTCTAATCCTACGCACATAGTTCATTTTATTTTAGTTCATTCAGACTGAGTTAAACAGAAACGTACCAAGTCAGTTCAAATTTTAGGCGGGAAAAAGAGGTTTGAAATTTTAATCCCTCCCATAAACTCAATATTAAGGGCTTTGGCGACTTTTTCCATGTTCGAAATATTTTTTTCAAATTTTGACTTCGAAAGGGAAGAAATTTACGACGGATTAAACTCAAAACCACTCCCAACTCATTTGCCCCCTAAATGTGACCTGACACGTTTCGACTAAACTCGGTCCATTTCATTCTCCGTACTTGTCGCCGCCCTTTTGACGTGAGGGCGTTCATCAATTTTCTCGTCAGCCCTGTTTTAAATATAAATCCATGCTTTCAAGAGCTCATGTGGAAATCAAGATAAGCCCTAACATCTGAAAAGCGACGTCATAGACCATATTTTCCCTTGAAATTTTCAGGAACTTTAAATCAAAATACTAACAAAATTCTATGAAAAATTGGAATAAAAATACTCATATATTTACCAGTGAATTCGTGTTTTATCAAAGAAAATTTTGCAATGCCTAAAGGTTCATACGGGGTTTTTACTTAGCACGGCAGAGTTCTACTTCATGATTCCCTCCAAATTTTTATTGGTATTTATAGATGTTTGCAGGGAAGAAGAAAAGAAGGCCACCTTGCGTGCTATGTATGGCTCGAAATTAACCCTATATCCAAGCTTTTCTCAACAAAGTGTAAGTAAGAGGAGCCCTCTTAATTCTCATGGAATTTGGTCGTTGAGTTTAGATTATGATTTTGGGAGGAGAGTCCGGAACGCACTCGAGATCTAGCGAGGAGAGCTGAGGAGACATTCATTCACTCATTGACCGGGCATACTTTGCGTCGTCGTCGGTGGAAATTGGACTAAACATAATCTGAAATCCTTTTGGTAAAGAAAAGAAGTATGGGAATGGGTTGCTATCATTGTTTAGACATGTACTCTAAAATATTTCACAAGAGATAGTGGTTTTTTCCAGTAGCATGGCGTGATTACGATATATCGATTGTTATGCCATTTAAACCTATGGAACATGATCGATTATTAAGGTGTTCGTTGCGAACACCCTGTTTATCGATCCTTTTTCATAGGTTTAAATAACAACCCATACATCGCAATTCACGCCACGCCACAGGTTGTTTCTTGCGGATATACAGAGCTACGACCTGATGCAAACTGCCTTCAATATCTGGCTCTGCAAAATCTCTGACACTAATCCACTCGGCGTTACTCCCTTGATCGCCGTTCCTATCTTTGAAGGCGTTACGCCAAGCATTCACGAGACGATTTTCTACACTGCCTCATGCCAACTCCAAAACATTTATTTCTCGACGAGTTTGTGGTCAATCATCATCCAATTTCTTTGACTGATGGTTTCCTTTAAATAACTAAAAAAAACAACAACATTTTAAATCGGAATTTTTAACGATTAGAACATAAAAAAAAAATTTTGGCTAAAGTGTGAAATCATGTATCTGCACAGCGGTGTTTAAAAATTTTCGCTTCAATTTTATATTTTTAAAAGAGGAACAAGCCAACTTCATAGATTGAAATTTTTACAGGATATTCTGTAAATTCAGAAATAAAATCAAGGAAGTTTTTAAGAGCTGCCTCTATTGATTAAAGCTAAAAGTGATGGAAAAACCTATTACAAAAAATTTATAGGCTATTTAACACCGAAGTCCGTTCATCAGTTTAAGAATATGAAAACGAGACCTGAACTAATGTAACTCCGTCCGACTGAGCCTGGTTATTTAATTTTTTACTATTTTTACTATTCACTATTGTTGTCTAGGTTTCACTGTTAACTTATAAATTATGACTAGCACTGGAGAATTACTAGACATGTACGGTACCCGAAAGAGTCTCATGTACCGAAATTGTTAAAAAAACATAAGTTTTACCAAAATGGCCAATGGTTATTGTTTTTTGTTTGGCTGGTAAGAAATGTGAGTGAAACGGTAAGAAAATCGACCAACTTCTCTTTTATGAGAAGGTTTTTGAAAAATTTGCAGTAAAATGTACGTGTCAACATCACGTAAAATTATCATGAAGAAACATGCATCTTCATAATCTTTAATCACTAACTCTTGTTTGAACGTGCACTTGTTTGGAGATTGAAACGCCAGGCAGAAAAGTAGAGAGAAGCATAGAAACACTGTCTCGATTGTTACATAAACGCACCAAAAAAATTCTCAGTTTTTATTTTTTTTTAAATCAATTTTAGCTTATTTGATGGTATGGATGTGAGTCCAAAAAAGGCACTGTTGAGTGGGGCCCTTCTTGATAGTAGGTGTTAGTTCTTCAAAAGTAAATTTTGAAAAAAAATTTCGTGCTCTAAATTTTTATTTTTTCATAAGATAATTTCGAAAATCGACCCGGTCTTTCACTGTAAAGAAGTTAGATCGTATCAACTGAAAGTTTGGTGTTCCAAATCATCCCCAGTCGGTCAAATCAAACTTCGTTCCTCTTTTCACTTTCACCACATGAGTTCGGTTTGACAAACCGAATAAATGGGCTCGGTGTAAAACACATGCAGTTATAGAAAATCTAATGTTCAGTTAATATAACCGAACGTTGTTCCCATCACGTAAGGTCATTTTTTCATTGACCACGTGGTTTCATATTGTTCACGACAACAGAAACATCCTTTACGGAGCATGCTCTGAGGTATCATTTGCAATTGAAGGCGCACCGGTGTGAAGGTGGTATGACGTCGAATTCGAATGTCCTCCGCTTGACTCGCGCAATCTATCGTCAGTTTCCATCAGTCAAAGCGCCTTCAATCTCGTATGATACTGTATAACACAAGAGCGAGAACAAATTGCGTGGAGAGGAAATTATAGCAGCGATTACGTACATCCACTCCAAAGTAGTGAGTTGCCGAAAAAAATCGGGAAAGTCCCCAAAAACGTAATTCAATTACGGCGTATACCTCGGTGCTATTTCAAAATCAGTAAAAGAGAGATGAAAAACACTATGTCGATTCACCTGTAGTTACTTAATTCGCTATTGTTTCATGTGGCAGCTACAAGAGGTATGTGAACTCTCATTGGTCAATTCACAGAATGTAGAGCCCCATATAGCTATTAGCGATGTTTTGGGATTAATAGATGTTTCTCATTGGTAAATTTAATGTTCTGCCAGACTCCCTGTCCGGTCTTGATTCGATTGAATTCGGATAATAATGAATCAGAACTCCAATGCAGTGTCTCAAAATGCCCGCTCCTATGTTATTTTTCCGGAAATAAACTAGTCAACCTCACAGGCGGGGCAGTATCCGACGACGAAAGCTCAAGGCCTCCTCTTCTTCTACAAGCGATTAGGGCATAGCCCTGTTTTGTCAAGACATCAAGTACCAAGCACATTAAATCATAACTATTATAAAAACAAAGAATCGGTAAATACGAGGGACCCGTCAAATCTATGAAACAGCATTCACTAGAGAAAACACACTGGATCTAGAGTCCAGACTCTTAAAAACATCGACAAGAAAAAATACTCTTGATTCAATCAGATTTAAGCTTAAATCAAGAACCAAGCCTCTTAATTTGAGCGGATTTCCTTTTGATTTAAGCTTAAATCTGATTGAATCAAGAGTCCTTTTTCTTGTCAATGTTTTCAAGAGTCTGGACTCTAGATCCAATGTGTTTTTTTTCCATTGTATAGTGAGAAAATGCACCGCCTGGTGACGTCATCTGGCGGCATTTCCCATTTAAAGACATGTATTCCAGCAGATTGTTTTTTTTCCAGTGTTAAAATCTTCTGTCGTCTAGAAGAGACTTTACGTCCTAAATGCTGGGATTTGGTGGTTATCAACAAAAAAGAACTGAATTCAACAGGGAGGAGCCAAGTGTCTGGGACACATCGATAGACGCGCACCATTAAATCAATGCGGTATCACGCCGTTTCTGAAACAAACGAAAAAGACCAATTCCCCTCGACGAAACTCGACCCGAATGATGCCAGATCGATCGTGCCCTACTTTCGGGGTCTCGAATTCTTCGAGTTGTGACCTCTGATGAGATGAAAGAATAAAGCGAAGCGTAGAGCGCGGACCAGTGGGGGCACAGTGACCGGGTATCTCATGGGCTACGGTNGGGGGGGGGGGGGGGGGGGCTGAGGTAGGGCCACGCGGCGGGCCCCGTTGTATGGGAGCCGCGTTCCCGTTTTCTCCTCGACTCTTCTCTCTCTCGGGTGTTTTGGGTCCTCGCCACGGCATACCATCGCATCAAACTGCCCCTTCGATTTCTTTGGTTAATGTCCTCTGAAAAGATTTAAAATCGTCCATAATTCTCTGTTTTCGGTCCACGGTGGCAAATGTTTCGTAGTTTTGTGAGTGTGGTTCATTTCGTGTAAAATTGAGTCTATTTACCTAGCAGCGATGATCTTGACCCGTAGAAGATAAAGCTCTCGCTGAATGATACGTCCGTTTATTATCAATTCCCTTCCACCATCTTCCACTGTAGCTTAATAACGAGTGGATTTTATTACACATTAATGAAAAAGTAGCTAAACCTGTTAAACGGTGATATAATTAATGCTCAGTTAAATTTTGAAAAAGTTTTGTGATTAAAAAAAAGTGCATCAAACATTAATAATGCAAACATTTCGACAGAGTATCATTGGCGAAACTTGCAATAAATTTGTAACTAAAACAAATTTTTTATGATAAAAGTGTCTGTGCGAGTCAATTGGATTACTTTCGAAACCGCATTTACAGAGGAATTTGTGTCCAACCTACAGATACAGGTGAGCATTATAAAGCATGTTTTTTTACAAATGTTATTTCCTCGATTAGAAAGACCATAAAATTTTACAAAAGAACTACTAGATCCCTATCTTTAGTACATAACCGAGACAAAAATTGAGCGGTGCGTTTTTATGTACATCAGTGTGCATTAATTCAATCAGAAAGGAGGGTTGGAGAGGGGAGGGGGGCATCATTCTTAAGAAAAAGAAAGTATTAGATGTGCAGGCTATACTACTGGTTGAAGAACTGGGGCCATGGTTGTCCATCATTTAAAGTCTCTACCCTAATAAATTATCATATCGTGTGTTTCTTCTCAAAAATTTTACCTATAGAAGCGTGACGTGGAAGTATGCATTTTATGGAAAAAATTGGGAGGAAGGTACATGTACCTTGCACCCCTCTTGTCTCCTAAAGAAGTTTATTAAAAAGTGGTGTTTCATGAGCTTTGACCGCATCTCAAGTTTCAAAAAACCCTAACCCCCTCTTTTTTTGTCGACGTTACGCATCAAAATTATCTCCAAAAAAATCCCTCTGCATGCAAAGCGTGCCGTGCTTTTTAAACAGCATGGCGATACCAGGGTTTAAAGTTCCAACATGGTAGCCACTGTGTGGAGTTTGATGACAAATTTTGAAAATTCGAATTCTCTCTGTAGTTTCTCACTTAAAAAGTATAAGTCTCGAGAGAGAGTAAAATACATGATAAAATCAAAATTTCAGGAAACATTTTGGGTATTTCTTGACGGAATCTCCTGAAAATCTCTCTCGAACGTTAATGAAGTAGTTTTGAGTGAAACAAACTGAAAATTTCCTTAAGCTACGCACAATACTGCCCCAGAGGCCCTAGATCAATGCAAATTCAAGGAAGTTTTAAAATTTAATCACAGATCGGGCTTTTCCTAACGCTTATTGTCACAATACGTCGAGAGACTTAAACGACAGGCTAGAAAAATAAACCAGAAATCTCACAGGAACAAACAAGCTAACACATTAAACTCATATTAGCCTTTCGCTAAGCTTGATGGTGCAGAGGTTGTAAGTCGGTAGTAGTCCGCAGTTGTCATCTTAGCCAAGCGCAGTGGGCTGATTATTGAAATTGATAGACAAAGTGATCGATAAAAAGGACCAAGGGAAAACGGAGCAGTCCTATCGGATGAAACGGATGGTTGTTATGGACCGAGAGGGAAAAAACTTTAGGACTCCTCGTGGGTTGCTGTTAGTTATTCTACTATCTCCTTCGTCTATTAAAACCAATCGTTTCCACCAGAAGGGTCCCTTATTTTCTCTTTGTCTATTTGTTGTCCAGCAATTTCAATTATCAATCCACAGGAATGGTTCCATCTAAACCTCAGAGGAGTGAAGTCCAGCAAGCCGATTGACCCAAAGAGTGACTCAATTATCAGCCCACAGGGATGGTTCCATCTTAACACCAGAGGATAAGTCCAATGAGTCGATTGACCCAAAGAGCGACTCAATGACCGTGTTGCTGTTGATCATCATTATCACTTGATCATAAAAGACTAATTAGCAAGAGAGCTTGCTGCAAGTGATGTTGACTACCGGATGGACTTGTGCGCTAATGTCAATAATTATTAATCAAGTATCGGCACTCCGCGATACGCAGCACATGCGTCAAGTTCAAGGGAATTTGCATTACTCTCATTCAATTACACTCCTTAGATTTTTCGCCAACTTTACATTGGTGCAAAATTGCACGAGACAGTCCTCCGACTCGACACCGCGGATGCGAGTCTCGTGATGTCCAAACAACGCGACTTGGCAACGCTTGAACTCGCGATCTTTGCCAAATAGACCCTGACCGGAGAATTCGTCGGAGCTTACGGTGTGAATGAGTTAAACAAAGTTTAACGCAACTGCTCTTGCTGAAATGCTGAGTTGCACATTTCATCTTCCCCAGGGTCACTTAGTGCGCGTTCGCGGGAGAAATTTTTAGTTTTGACTCGTGTTTTTAGCGCCACGTCCGTTGCTTTGAAAAATGAATGAGAAGTGACGGTTTGGTCCGATCTTGGTCTGTAGTATTGCATTGGACCTGTCGTAGGCAAATGGTCAAATCAGGCATGTTATCTAATGCTGAGGCAGATAGTCACAGTTTGATAGGTTGCAATATTTTGTAACAGTCGAGTTTTTAATGATTTAGAAGTAAGCGATTCATCTAATATCCGAAATTGTCTTATATTTTGCTCTCCTGGCGCTCCTTATGTATTTTAATTGTCAATATTTTGAAAATTTGGTATTTTATAAAATGCTGCAAATTTCGTGATAAAGGCTCGTTTAAGGACCAGAAACGATTTTTTCAACCATCGTAGAATGAAAAATTTTGCAGAGACTTCTTTCCTACGAAACCAAAAATTATTTTGTTTAAAATCAGTAAGAGAATCGGAATTTCAATCTCAGTAAGAATATTTGACATTTGCTTTTTGATAAAATCTTGGCATTTAGGTTCTTTTACAGCCATGAGTTTAGTGCACGCCTTGATTGCACTTACCAGCAGGCTGATTTTTGAAATTGATGTACAAAACTATAGACAAAAGAGACAAAGGTTTCCGTTTTTTTATTTTTTGTTTTGGAAAGACAAGTTCTTCAATTCAAACAAATGTAAATGTCGTTAAAGCGTCAGTACGTAAATATTATAATAATGAGAATTTAAATAATATTCACATATTATAATATAACGTAAATTATTGTAATAATGAGTGAGGCACCTCGTGCACAGTATGGTTGAATTGCGTGCGGATTGTGATTTGCGCGTCAGAAATTTTCTAAAGGATCTCTCGTGCCCGGAGTCGGCTACATACAGCGTTGTAATGCGCACGTGGAATTGATTATCAACGTACAAGAAGAGAAAGTTCCAGTTGGACGGCATGCTATTTTCATTTCAATGCAAACCTGACTTTGAGAGTGGGATGAGATCCAAAGTATCTACAATGTTGATTCTGCTATTGAATCGAGATTCTCGACAGCGAAGAAATGCAACAAGCACCGTGTCTCAGAGTATGACACAATGCAAAAAAAAGAGTAGACTTCAAGAACTTGAAATTTCATTTTAAATATTCCACTAAATTTGTATCAAATACATGCTTAATGAAATACAAAGTTTCCGCCATACCTACCGCGTAATCTATGGCCTGATTCGATGTATACTGGAGAATGACCTCCTATCTTGTGTTCAAATTATATGAACCGTATACACTGGTAAAAAAAACCTCTTGGTTCAAGAGTGCAGTTTCTTGTCGCCGGATTTAAGAGTCTGGACTCTTGTTTCAATGCAAAATCCGCTTGAAACAAGAGTTCAAGACTCTTAAATCCGGTGACAAGAAACTGCACTGTTAAGTCAATGCAATGCGGCATTGGTCCAAGAGGTTTTTTTTTACCAGTGAAACCTATTTATCGACAGAACTTACTTCAGATTTGCAAAAACATAACACTATTTTAGAGCCAGCAGACACTGATCATCTTTTTTTAAAATTAATTTATCATTCTATTTATTATCTGAATTTAAAAATGGGTAAAAATTTACTGTTATAATCTCTACTTCTATTTTTTTCACAAGGAAAAATGTGAGGAGCAATTTTATAACTCTCAAACCATAATATCATCGATGAAGTTCAAGGTACCTTTATTGATGAAAAAATGTTGCACCATGTTATCGCTGTTTACATTTCAGTAAAGTATGAATAGTAAAACAGATCAACAAATTTTTAGTAAAAACAAATATGGTAAATTTATCGTTGTATGTTGTGCTGAGATCACTGATTTATTTTTCTAATCCTTCGTTTAAGTCTCTCGACGTACCATGGCTATGGGTGTGGGGAAAAGCCGGGCTCGTGATTTAATTTCTAAAATTCCCTGAAGGTACATTTATCTAAATTCTCTAGGGGCAGATTTAGATATAGCTTAAGGGAACTTAGGTTTGTTTTATTTAAAACCACTTTAGGAACGTATTTGAGAGTGATATTTAGGGGACTTTGTCAAGAAAAACACAAAACTATTCTTTTCAATTCCGACCTTATCATGTATTCTATATACTTTATCCAAGTTTATTTAAATAGAATAAACAAATAAAAATAAAAATAAATTGTGTCATTGACCCATCCCAGAGGACGCAATGATCGTTTGAATCTGAGTTCAAGTCGGGTGAGTTGAGCTGCAGAAGATATGAAAACTCAAACTAATGGAGTGATGCTGTAGATGCTCAGCAAGGACGAAACGTGACGCCTCTCAGCTTAAAAGTCCAAGGAGCATGCTCAGCTGAGACTTGAGACTGTTCTAAAATCAACTTTCTCTCCAAATATTTAGCCTCTCTTGCGATACAAGTGTAATTAGGGGCCCTTCAAACCTGACATTGTTTACTCTAGGCAGCTGAAAAGGACCGCAGCGCTGTGAGTGATGCCTTGCGTGAAGAAATTAACACCTTTATCAAATTGGCTTCGGCCGCCATCTATGATATCAGTCGAATTTCCGCGAGAGAGTTATCGCTTGAAATTTTCAACTTGCTGTTAACCTCCGTTACTAGTGGCGTGGCAAGCTTTGCGATTTGTCGATTGTTATGCCATTTAAACCTATGGAAAATGATCGATAAACAGGGTGTTCGCAGCAAACACCTTAATAATCGATTCTTTACCATAGGTTCAAATGGCAGAACAATCGATTCATCGCAATTCACGCCACGCCACTGTCCGTTACCACAAAACAAAATCCCCACTAGCCGACGATACGCCCACAACATTTGGTTTTCACGCTGGCAGAAATGATGATCACATCCAAAACTCTCGACCCACCTCTCGCAATAATAGAGTTCGTCAGATCATGGACGTCGAATTTGACGTCATGAGACCAAACTGCTTGTGTGGTATGGTCGTATGGTCATGTTAAGAGGATGGCAGAAGAAACGTTGCTGAAGAAGCTGCTTGATTGGGTACCTCCTGGGAGGAGACAAAGGGGACGTCCGGTGAAAGCATGGCAACAGGGGGTTTTGGAGGAA